AAGCCAACTAATAACAGCAACAAGCATAAAACGACAGCTAGTAAGAACAACCAGTGTAACTAGAAGAATAATAAACAACATAATGATGAGACTAAGAAGAACACTGATACAAAAGGCAGCCAATTCGAACAGCAGCAGCCATAGCAGCAGTGCCACGGCGGAGCGCATGGCGTTTGCGGAGACCTCCCTCCGGCATCACTCCCAACGGCATCAGCGCCTCGTGAAGGAGGCCGCCGAGCGGGACAAGCATTAGGTCGGGCATGTCCCACTACATGCGGATGTTCGAGGAAACATAAAACAAGTAGTCAAACACACTCAGAACTCATCCAAGAAAAGCCAAACATCGTCCCAAGACTGCTTGTTGACCATCTTTGAATACTCCTCATGTAGAGGGACACGCCCGACTTGATGGGCCTGTTGTCCACCACCACCACAACCATAAGTTGGAGGGGGGAAGGAGGAGGAGGAGGAGGAGGAGGAGGAGGAGGAGGAGGAGGACGAGGGGGACGAGGAGGAGGAGGAGGAGGAGGAGGAGGAGGAGGAGAAGGAGGAGGAGGAGGAGGACCCCCTCCCCCTCCAACTGATGGTGGTGGTGGTGGAAGACACGCCCATCACGACTTGAGGCAAGGCCACATCACCGCGGCCGCCATCTGGGCGCGGCTCTCAGCCGCCCTGGCCGCCGCGCAACCGTCGATCGGTCCCCCGCCGTGGCCGCTGCCAACAGGGACGGGGGGGTGCGGGGGGACGGGGCGCACCCGCCCGCAGCCGTGACCGCCGAGGACGGTTCCCCCCGGGGCCGTCGGCGACCCGAGGAGGGGACGAGGAGGAGGGGACGAGGAGGAGGGGGAGGAGGAGGAGGAGGAGGAGGAGGAGGAGGAGGAGGAGGAGGAGGGAGGAGGAGGAGGAGGGGGAGGGGAGGAGGAGGAGGAGGAGGAGGAGGGGGAGGAGGAGGAGGAGGAGGAGGAGGAGGAGGAGGGCGAGGGAAGGGGAGGAGGAGGAGGAGGAGGAGGAGGAGGAGGAGGAGGAGGACAGGTCGCCGAAGCCCGTCGGAGAAACCCTCCACAGCGGGGACGGATGCCCCTGGCGCTCTTGTTTCTCATCCTGTTCAGCGCGTTCTGGTCGGTACTACTACGCAGTTGCGTGCGACGAGTTGCACCTCAAGAGCGCCACGAACATCGTTGGTGCTGCAGTGGGTCAAGATGGTATTAATTGTTTTCTCGGTGGTGGTGTCAAAGCAACGCTGATGCCGGCGATCAAGCCCGTGTCTGCCGCGTTCTAGAAGCAGGCCGTGATGGGCGCAATCAGGTCCGTGCCTGCCAGGGCTGGACCTAAACGTTGTTGTTCGTTTTGGTTGCGTTTTGTTTTTCGTTTTGTTCTACCTGTTTTCCTGCACCTCCCTGCCAAAAAAAGGAAGACACAACACAGCCGAAGTCCAGCAACACAGCGTCTAGGTCCGGCCTGATGATCCTTAGAAAGGGGGTGTTGCCAAGCCGAGACCGGTCGGAAGGCCGCCACCGAAAGAGAGAGCCACAATTTGTTGACGCCGTGTTTCCTGAGGGTGCGACTGCCGCGATGTCTCCGCGCGTGCGCAGCTGCCGTCGCGCGAAGCTTGCATTGGGTGTCATGCCCGTACGCTGCTCCCTCGCCGCGCGCCGCGGTGGTCTCTCCTACCACGGAGGCGGCGCCGCGACGCGGTGGGCTCTGTCCAGTTGCGGCACTCGCGAGGGGGCACCACGGGGAGTCGTCGCAGGAGCCTGCTGGACGTTTTCCCTTTGAGTGAAGCCCTATTTCCTTGGCTGCCCTCATGAGATGGGCCGTCATCGTTCCTTGGCTCCTGGGCTCTGCGCATCGCGGTCGCTCGGGCGCTCGAGACTCCGACGGAGGCCCCAGAGAGGATGTCGAAACCTCCATTGGCCATCGGCGTAATACGGATGATCAGCCCCCGATACATGATGAGCGCTGCCAGCGCTGTCTTTTCAGTGCAGCACTCGTTCCGGCAGCTCGGTGGTGACCGACAGCGCGGATACTTCGTCGAGCCAAGATGATTGCGGGGGTGGGCGAACGGGAGTGGACCAGGGCGTGGACGCAGGAGAGGGGGTACCCCAGAGCCGCAGGAGCTCCAGGAGGACTTCCAGGATCACGATGGCCAGGAGCGCCCCCGAGAGCTCCTGTGAAGGCCCGCGAGAAACATTGGCCAGAACTTGCCCTCGAAGACGTCGAAAAGTGACCGACACGGCCCCGTGCCACGGCAAAATACTGCTCTCCTGCTTTTGCCCGCCATCGATCAGCCAGGCCATGATCGGGAATTCTGGCTGTCCAGGACAGCGCCTGGGGAAGCACGTGAGTTCCCAGGTCTAGCCATTCGCGGACGTGTCCAGGTTATGCCAGGTCACTCTGGAACACGATGGCCAATGGCTCTGCGTGGCACCTCGGAAATTTGCTTCCAGACGCGGCCCGCAGAATTGCAGCGACACACCTTCAGCACGTCATAGACGTGACGACGCCAGAGCACTTGTGTCATCAAGTCGTGCTGCCCAAAATGCCCGAAGCCGGGTATGCGGACAGCGCTCTTGAAATCCAGCGCTTCTTCGTCCCGAAGCACGACCCCGACGGCGGCGGCTGCCATTTGCCCCCCTCGAGGCCTACTGGCTCAGGGCAGTATCCACAAGTGCAGAGAAGGATGCACACTGTGTGTGGTGGAATTCCAGAAGCATTTCAACAAGCATTCCGAACAGCAAAACAGGAAGCGTATGAAAACATCGTTTCAGCGAGCCCGCGGTCGAGTTCGGGTCGGGCAAGATGGGCTGACAACTTAGAAGGGGACACATTTTCGAGTAGCTGGGGTTGCCCATCCCAGCGCCCTGCGGGCTTCCCCGAAGTCGCGCGACAATGGCGCCTTTTTTTGCATGCGTTCCAACTCTGCTGCTGTCACGAGAGTGTTTCTTCACATGGCCTAGGCCACAACGTGCTGCATGGTTCAGAAGCCAGGCGAAGGCTGGCAAACCCGTGGCTGCTAAAACGGGAAATTGTTTTTTTCTTCCGGGAAGCAGCCCGTTTGCTATAGTCAGTGCGCCGAGTTTTGTTCCGGGAATGTGTCCTTTCTCTTCCGGGAGTGCCGCTTTAGCAGCCACGGATTTGCCAGCCCTCGCCCAACTTCCGAGTGCCTCGGCCACGCGTAGAGGGGGACAGGGGGAGGGGGGAAGGCTTCTCAGAAGCGCCCCTGATTCTTAGAAGGCGCGAGCCTTGTCTGTAGATGTAAGACCGGCGCCTTCTAAGAAGCAGCCTCCTTCTAAGAAGCCTTCCCCCTCCCCCTACTCCCATGTGCGCGCCGACAAGGGCCACAACGTGCTGTATGGCTTCCCAAATAAGGATGCCCCGACCTCCGCTGCGCGCCTCCAGGCATACTTGCAGCGCGCGGCTTGCGCGCGCGCGCCACGCGGCTTCGCGGCAGCGGGCCATCGCGACGCCTTTGCTCGCCACGGCCTCGTGCGCGGGCATGTTGCGGCGTCCGCGGGCTAGTATAGGTTTATGTTACTTTCTATTTGTCGTTCAAAATCCGCCTGTAGGAGGACACGCCCGTCCTAAGGCTATTGGGGCATTGGCAGGGGCTATTGGGGCATTGGCAGGGGCCCTCCTCCTCCTCTTCCTCCTCCTCCTCCTCCTCCTGCTCCTCCTCCTCTTCGTTCCCGGAGCGAGCCCGCCACACGTCCCCCGGATCACGACGAGAGAGAGGCCGGCGTGATGCGGTGCGCACACGCGGCGATCGCACGCTCTTATAGTGTGGTATCGGCAGGGGTGGGTCCGACCTCGCGGCGGAGCCCACGAGCACGCCGCGGGGCTCGCGGGCTGCTTCGCGCGCGCGAGCGGAGGAGGAGCGCGGAGGAGTTGGCGGCGGGAGGGGGACGCGGTGCGGGGCGGTTGCTGCTGTCGTTGTCGGCGTCGTCGTTCGCCCCCCCGCCCTACCCCTGGTCTGTCGTCTCCTTTTCTTGTCCGAGGGAAGCTCTGGGTCTTCATTCCGGGGCCGGCTCCTGGACCGAGCCGGGGCCTTCGTCCCCGGGCCGGCTTCAGGTCGTCGGGGAGGGAGGAAGCAACACAAGTATCGGAGGTTGATAGACCTCCTGCCCTGACACGTCGATTAGCGATTTGGCCGTTTTCGGTTCGCGAGAGGGCCGTCGCGGCCGTCATTTTTGCGGGTCCAGGTCCGTCGGTTTCGGTGCTGGGCCGTTTTCATTAATTAAAGTTGTCCACCGCGAACGTAGGGGAACGAGCAATGACATAAGCATGAAACCTCGGAGGTCCGCGCGGATTTCTCGGATCCGCGCTGGACCCCCCTCCTGGGCGCGCGGAGCGCGCCAGGGGCGGCGCCGGAGGCGCCGCCAGGGGGCCCCAGCGACGATCCGAGAAGTCCGCGCGGACCTCCGAGTTTTTTATGTTTATGTCATTGTTCGTTCCCGAGGCCCTAACAGTGGAGGCCAACGCCAAGAAACGCCCTGCTTGCGGGTGCCGTGGGTTTCTTGGGTTTCGATGGGTTTGCCATGGAGAGAGCGCGACGTGCCCACACCAAAAGTCAAAGGACGTCCTGGGGCCTCAGGGCTTCTCAGGGACGTCCCGTCGGGTTTCTTGTGGAAGGTCTCTTGTTGCCGGGCGTGTGCGGTTCTCCTCGGCGAGGGCCCTTGAGGAGCATTCCTGGGCCACCTCTTTGCGAGGCAACGCGCGCACGAAGCCCAACAGCGAGTGCATGGGGGAATGGTCGTCGGCGAGCGGGGGGGGGAAGTGAGAAGGAGAAGGCCCTCTGCTCAGAAGGCGGCGGGACTTCTCAGCAGCCCTCGGGCCCTTCCGAGAAGTTCTCCGCGTCTTCCGGGAGGGCTCCGAACACTCCCTCAGAAGGTCGGGGGACTTCCGAGCCCTTTGAGCAGGCCCTTCTCCTCCTCGCGTCTCCCCCCCGGGTGCGCCGCCGAACTCGACGTGGGAACGATGGCGAGGCCCCCGCCGTGCCCCAGGAGCTCGCCCAGGGGCAGGAGCTCGGCGACATGCTCGAGCAGCGCGGCAAGCTCAGCGAGGCGGAGGCGTGCGCGGCCCCCCCCCCGCACGGCCCGATGGAGCGGCCCGGCAGGCTCCTGCGGCCCTGCGCCCCGGCGTGCGCGCTCGCGGCGGCCGGCGCAGCGATGGGGCGACGAGGAGGACGAGGGCGAGGGCGAGGGCGAGGGCGAGGGCGAGGAGGAGGGCGAGGAGGAGGAGGCCAGAGGAGAGGGCACCAGTGCCGCTGCCCTGTCCTGGGTTCGCCCCCGGGTGCTGGACAGAGCGTGCCCCAGCAGGCGGAAACCGTACCCTCTGGACCCCTCTCGGGTATAGCCAGGACCCCGGGTAAGGGGACCCGATAGGGGTAGGGCATTGGGGCCCTTCAAGTGGCCAGATTTACTAAACCAGGTTTGCCGTATTTGGTGTTGTTCGGGTGACGGGGGGGCGCCCCCGGTACAAATCACTAAACCAGGTTCCACTAAACCCAGTTCTGCCAACGCCCGACCCTCGAGCAGGAGGATGGCGACGACGAAGACGGGGTGGGGGCGTGGGAGGCGAGGGCGAGAGGAGCGAGTAAGGAAGCGAACACTGACATAAACATAAAAACTCGGAGGTCCGCGCGGACTTCTCGGATCGGCGCTGGGGCCCCCTGGCGGCGCCTCCGGAGCCGCCCCTGGCGCGCTCTGGAGGCGCCCGGGAGGGGGTCCAGCGCGGATCCAAGAAATCCGCGCGGACTTCCGAGTTTTTATGTTTATGTCATTTTTCGTTCCCCTAGCGAGGGCGAGGGCGACGGGTACGAAGGGAAGGCCGGAAGGGGTGGCGAGGGCGCATGCGGTCACAGCCAATGGGGCCCTCGGTGGCGCTCCCTATGGGGCCACGAAGCGTGTGAGGGGTGTGCCAACATTGGTGGTGGGGGCCATGAAGCGTGTGAGGAGTGTGCCAACATTGGTGGTGGGCATGTGGTCACAGTCGTTGGGGCCTTCGGTGGCGCTCCGTATGGGGCCACGAAACGTGTGAGGTTGAGGAGGAGGAGGAGCACGAGGAGGAGGAGGAGGAGGAGCAGGAGGAGGAGGAGGAGGCGGAGGAGGAGGAGGAAGAGCAGGATGAGGAGGAGGAGGAGGAGGAGGAGGAGAAGAGCAGGAGGAGGAGGAGGAGGAGGAGGAGAGGAGGAGAAGGAGGAGGAGGAGTGGAGGAGGAGGAGGAGGAGGAGGAGGCAGGAGGAGGAGGAGGAGGAGGAGGAGAAAGAGGAGGAGGAGTTGGAGGAGGAGGAGGAGGAGGCGGAGGGGAGGAGGAAGAGCAGGATGATGATGATGATGATGATGATGATGATGATGATGATGATGATGATGATGATGATGATGATGATGATGATGATGATGATGATGATGAGGTTGAGGAGGAGGAGGAGAGGAGGAGGAGGAGGAGCAGGAGGAGGAGGACGAGGAGGAGGAGGACGAGGAGGAGGAGGAGGAGGAGGAGGAGGAGCATGAGGAGGAGGAGGAGGAGCAGGAGGAGGAGGCTGGGGAGGAGGCATGCCGTCCTCCAGCCCCCCCCGCGCCGTGAGAGGCGAGGCCCGGCGGCGCGCGGACCGTGCCCGCGGGCCGTGCGGGGCCCCCCTCCCCGCCGGTCGCGGGCACGCCTCCATGGGGTGAGCGGAGGCTTATGTCCGGCCTGTCCCCCTACAGGGGGATTTTCTCGGGCCGGGCGAAAGGGGGGATTGGGAAAGGGGGAGTTACGAAATTTGCTGCATGCAGCTGGTTTCGGCCTCGCCGAGGAGCACATTCCTCGACGATACATAAGCCGCCTCCGGCGCCGGGAGGCGCCGGGAAAATCAGCTACGTGAGCTGATTCTCACCCCCCCCCTTTGCTATCCCCCCATTTCGCCCGACCCGATTTCCCGAAAAGTAAGACATACCCCCAAAGATTCCCCAACAAGGTCCAGAAGTGCTCAAAACACAGTCCCTGGACTATTTTTGGATTATGTTTTGACCATGTTTGGGGGGTATCTTTTGTTTTTCGTCGAAAGTCCCCCTGTAGGGGGACAGGCCCGACATAAGCGGATGCCTCCGCCGCGCCCGCGCGCCACACGGCATTTTTGCTGTTGCTTTCGTCGGCGCGGCGCGGCCGGCTGTCCACCACCCGCGCGTGGGGCTTCGAGGCAGGCGAGTGGCTGCGGCACGTTCGCGTCGCGTCGACGGGCGGCGGCCCCGCCGCGGGCGCTCCAGGTGGAGCGCCGGCAGTGGCCCAGGATCGGCCTGCATGGAGCCGTCGGGCGGTGGAGCAGCCGCCGATCGTTGCAGGCTGAAGGATCCCCCTGCGGTGCCAGGAGCCAACGCCCGAGTCGTCCCGACCCGAGCCTGCCGGAATTGGCCGACAGGCAAGAGAGGGACGGGGATGAGGTGCAGAGCGGCCGCAGAGGAAGGGAGGAGGCGGAGGGCGCTCAGGAGTGGAAGAACTGTTGGCGCTTCGCGCATCCCCACCAGCCCTTCCAGACACGATGCCCAGGGGAGTTGAGGTGATCAGGGAAGTGGGGGAGCATGCAGAAAGACAAAGGGCGGGGAGAGCCGTCCGATGTCCCAACAGGGGGCGGATGGTGGAGGAGAAGGAGGAGGAGGAGGAGGAGAAGGAGAAGGAGAAGGAGGGCGATGAGGAGGAAGGAGGAAGAGACACTGGGCAAGGAGGAGGAGGAGGCGAGCCCAGGTGCTTCTTTCAGCGTCTTGGGTGCCTCGGAGAACCTCTTGAGGCCTCTTGGGGGCCTCTTGGGAGTCTCTTGGATCCACTTGGGCGCCTCTTGGGGCTGTCTGGGCGCCTCTCGGGGCCCTCTTGCGGCGCTCTTGGGAGCTTGAAGGCACTCTTGGGCCCATCTTGGAGGGCAACGATCAGAAAAGAGGGGAGCCTCAATTAGGGCCCCCCTCGGGAACCCTAGAAATCGCTTCCGGGGCCCGTCTTGGAACGCTCTTCAGGCGCTCTTGGGCGCTCTTGGGGCCGTCTTGGGGCTCTCTTGGGTCTCTCCTGGGGCCCTCTTGGTCCATCGTGGAGCCATGTGATTGAGGCCTCGGATGGCCATCGTAAGCGAAAAGGCGAGAAAGCCAACACACATTGATGTCCTGTCGGTTTTGGAAGGATTTGGGCTTCTTCGGGCCTCCTTGGGGAGCTCTTTGGCCACTTGGAGCCGTCTTGGAGCGGTCTTGGGGCCTCTGGGAGCATCTTGGGAGCCATTTGGAGGTATCTTGGGATATCTTGAGCCATCTTGGAGCTCATCTTGGGCTCTCTTAGGCGCTCTTGGAGCCATCTTGGGCCATCTTGGACGCCCCAACCCCTCGGAGGACCTCCCGTCCAGGTCCAGGGTAGGGGTAGAGGGTGGGGTACGCCCCTCCCCGAAGGGGACGCGGGGCAGACGGAAGGCAAAACACCCTAGATCACCTACGCCCTAATGGGCTGGTGGGATTCCACCCCGAGCGCGCTGGCGCGGCCAGCAGCGGCAGCGGGGACCGTGGCAGCAGCCGGGCCGCGGCGACGGTGCATCCACGGGCGCTGCCGATGCCCAGTACAGACAAATCGGCACAAGTTCCAGGGCCCCGTATTTTTTGACATTTCCTGCAGGTCGGGCGCGCAATCCACATGTTTGTGGTGTCTGTGCCAGTTCTTCCTGCCGGATCGTCGCGCGCAGGCGAAGCCGATCTTCAAGCAGCTCGTGAACGTCATCCAGGCGAGGCTCGCACGCGGGGCCCTGGGGGCGTGAGTCGGCGGCGCGCCTAGGCGGGGCAAGGGGGGGGTGCCTTCCGAAGGCCAGAGACCTTCTAGGAAGCTTTGTACGCCTCAGCCGAGGCCACGGAGGGCTTCACGCAAGGTGCTCCTCGTGGATTTCGAGGCTCTCGAGCTTCGAAGACTTCGAGGATCGAGGGCAGTTTTGCCGAGGTTCGAGGACTTTCGAGGATGGGGCGTCGAGGCTTCTGAGACGCCCCGCCGCCTTCTGAGAAGGCCCGCGCGCTCTTACAGTGGACAGCCGTGCCAAGAAACACCCTGCTTGCCCCCAGGGTGCCCTGGGCTTCTTTGGTGTCGATGATTGTGCGATGGAGAGCGTGACTTTCCCACACCAAACATCCATGGACGTCTGGGAGTCTCAGGTTGCTTCTGGGAGGTTTCTTGTGGACGGGCCTCCAGGCCTCCCATCGCAAAACCATCGAAACCCAAGGAAACCAGGGCCCATGGAGGAGGAGGAGGAGGAGGAGGATGAGGAGGAGACCGAGCTCGTCGAGAGTCGCTTCGGCCCCCCGGCGAGGCCAGCTCAAAGTTTGTGTTGCCTGCTATCGGGCTCGCCTGGAGCGGAGGGGAGCACGCTTGGATGGTTCCTCGAGTGGAAGCAAGGATTGCAACGAAGGATTGCAAAACAACCCTTGAACGAAGGATTTGCAATCCTTCGTTCAAGGTTTTTTTTGCAATCGTTCGAAGGGTTTTTTGCAATCCTTCGGTTGTTTTGCAATCCTTCGTAGCGAAGCAGCTGTGTGAAGACAGCCATGGAACACACACGCCCAGGGCACCCAGGGCGCCCTGGCAGCGGGCGTCCGTCCGCGTCGGGCCTGTGCCGCCCCATCCTCCCTCCCTCCTGCGGGGGCGGAGGAGGAGGAGGAGGAGGAGGAGGAGGAGGAGCGGGGATGATGATGATGAGGATGAGGATGATGATGATGATGATGATGATGATGATGATGATGATGATGATGATGATGATGATGATGCTGATGCTGATGCTGATGCTGATGATGCTGATGATGCTGATGAGGATGAGGATGAGGATGATGATGAGGATGAGGATGAGGATGAGGATGAGGATGATGATGATGATGATGATGATGATGATGTTGATGCTGATGATGCTGATGCTGATGAGGAGGATGAGGATGAGGATGAGGATGAGGATGATGATGATGATGTTGATGCTGATGATGCTGATGATGAGGATGAGGATGAGGATGAGGATGAGGATGAGGATGACGATGATGATGATGATGATGATGATGCTGACGATGATGAGGATGATGATGATGATGATGAGGAGGAGGAGGAGGAGGATGAGGATGATGATGATGATGATGATGATGATGATGATGATGATGATGATGCTGATGCTGATGATGCTGATGCTGCTGCTGCTGCTGCTGATGATGATGATGATGATGATGATGATGATAATGATGAGGAGGAGGAGGAGGAGGAGGAGGAGGATGATGATGATGATGATGAGCAGGGTGTTTCTTGGCATGGGGCCCCACTGTGCCTCCCCCCCTTGGCGCCTACGGGTGGGGGCTCCCATCGCCCCTGGACGCGTCGAGGGCGCGGCGGAGGCCGAGGTGCTCAACGTGGCAGGGGCGCTAAGAGGGCCGCGCCTCGTCTTCTGCGGGGAATCCGCCTCCTCCTCCTCCTCCTCCTCCTCCTCCTCCTCCTCCTCGGTATCCTCATCCTCATCCTCCCTCCTCCCTCCCTCCCTCCCCTCCCTCCCTCCCCCCCTCCTCCGCCCGCCCACCCGCCCGCCCGCCCGCCCGCCGCCCGCCCGCCCGCCCGCCCGCCCGCCCGCCCCCCCGCCCTCCCTCCCTCCTCCCTCCCTCCCTCTTCCTTCTCCCTCCCCTCCCCTCCCCTCCCCTCCCTCCCCTCCCCTCCCCTCCCCCCCTCCCTCCTCCCTCCCTCCCTCCCTTCCTCCCCAGCCTTCTGAGATGTTGTCTGCGCCTCTGGAGAAGGCTTCGAATTCTTCTCAGAGGGCAGGGGGACTTCCGATCCGAGCCTTCTGAAATGGCGCGCCCCTTCTCACTCCTCCCCAGGCTCGCCGCGGACTCTCGCCCCAAACCCCAGACCTTTCGAAGAACAATCAAGCTGCTCAGAGGAGGAGGGGACCTCGGGGATAGTTGCACCCCTAGCGGTCTTTTCGTCTTTTCGGACGCACCATTGTCGAGGATGGGTGCCCCCTCCAATCGTACATCCCAGAGTTGGGCCCGAAATTCCTGGTCCACTCGAAGACCCCACGAAGTCGGGGATACGAGTCGACATGTCTTTTTGAGACGACCCAGGAGACCCAGACATCCGGCCGCTCCAATTTGTTCGATGCGTGGGCCCCAGACGTCCGGACCACTTCCCCAGCACAGGCTGTTCCGTCCCGAGCCGTTTTGTCGACGCTCCCGAGGCCCAGCGATGTCCCCCGCTGGCCCACAACTGCCCAAAGTCCCGCCGTTCCAGAATGTTTGGAGCGTCGGCTCTTCCCTTGGGAGGCGAAGCACAGTGGGGGCCCATACCAAGAAGCACCCTGCTTGCCTCCAGGGTGCCCTGGGTTTCTTGGGGTTCGAGGATCTTGCGGCGGAAAGCGTGACGCTCCCACACCACAAATTAATGGACGCCTGTGCTCTCAGGGTTGGGTCTCTTGTGGAAGGTTTCTTTCAGCCACGCGCAGAGGGGGGTGGGAGGAGGGGGGAGGGCTTCTTAGAAGCACCCCTGCTCCTTAGAAGCCGCGGACCTGATCCATAGATGCAGGGCCGGCGCCGTCTAAGAAGCAGCCTCCTTCTAAGAAGCCCTCCCCCTCCCTCCACCCCCTTGTTAGGGGGCCACATGCGAACCCTGCCCCTACCCCCACGGTTTCTGAGGGGGAGGGTGGGGGTTCACTTCGCTCGAGAGCTCCCGAGCGAAGTGAACCCCACCCCCCCCCCCCCTCCGAAATGTTGGGGGGCAGGGGTAGGGTTCGCATGTGTCCCCGTACTTGTGCGCACCGCCAACTCTTGTGGACTGGCCTCCCACTGTATCCTCCCCTCCCGCCCGCCCTCCCTCTCCTCCTCCCCCTCCTCCTCCTCCTTCCCTCCCTCCTCCCTCCCTCCCCTCCCTCCCTCCCTCCCTCCCTCCACCCCCTTGTGCGCACCGCCAACTCTCGTGGACTGGCCTCCACCGTATCCTCTCCTTCCCCTTGCAGGACACGCCCCTGGGCCCGCGCGGCGCCCCTCGGGCGGCGCGGCGGCGCGCTGGGGGGGGGTCGATCCTCTTGCTGCCCCTCGATCCTCGATCCTCCTCGATCCTCCTCCTCGATCCTCGATCCTCCTCCTCGATCCTGGATCCTCGATCCTGGATCCTCGATCCTCCTCCTCGATTCTCGATCCTCCTCGATCCTCGATCCTCCTCCGAGGCCCAGCTCCCGACGCACCCTGTCGTTGGTCCAGGCCCTGTATTTTGTAGACCCTTCGTCTTCGGGATTTTGTCGCATGCTCATTGTAAGACCTTCCGGGCAAGGGGGACGAGTTCTCTGTCCAGCGCTTGTGCGTTCGTATTGGAGAGAAAAAGCGCATCCAGGCCATTGAGCCTGGCCCTAGACACCATGCATTGTAAAATTACCCTGCTCCACCGTCGGAGTCGCAAACGTGCCGTTGAGTCGCCTCGAGTCGTTTGCCCCGTTCGGAAGCCACCGAAGATCGGGCAGACAAATGTGGTCCCAAGTACCGTGCAACATGCACGGCAGTCCCTGGCAACATAGATGGTCCCTGGTAGACCGATTTAGTGTACTCGTCTGCCCTAGCACCACACATCTTACCAACGATTCAGACTTCCCAGGAGTGTGCTGCAGATTCCGTCCTGGCATATCCATGCGATTTCCTACGGAGGTCCACGGCATCTGAAAGCTGGTATGGTTTTCTGGAGTCGTCTGTGTAAGACTGTAAAGAAGTGTCCACGGTGCATCCCTCCTTCCCCACATCCTCTCGCACGCGTCCACCTCATGGACACTTGAACCACACGTGCATGTCGGGGCGGGCGGAAGTCGTCTCGTCCGGACACGCGTGGTACGGTGTCAGGAACCATGGGCCAGCGATGGAATCTCCTGGGAGGGTGCCGGTGACCTTGTTGTATATTCGGTCCCCCCTGTGGAATCGTCGATAACGGTGCACGGGTGCTCCAGACGTTGGCTTAAATCGGGCCTGTCCTTCTACATGCGGAATGTTCAAAAATAGTAGAAAATAGTCTGGGGACGATTTTGGGGTTATTTCTTGAATTTAGTTGGGGGTATTTCTGGGGTATTTGAAAAGTTCGTCCGAAATCCGCCTGTAGAGGGACATGCCCGACCTAAACGTTGGCACATATGCTTGCGATCAACAGGATTACGAAACGCACGAGCTGCATACGGTTCCAGATCCTCGGCGCGGTCGCACATACCCACAAGCACAATTTCGGTTCGGCGTGTCGGCATCGGCGTATGAGTCGGAGCCAGCGTCTCCGTTGCTATTGCAGGAGGAGGTGGAGGAGGAGGATGGGGAGGAGGATGGGGAGGAGAGCAGGCGTACGAGGAGGAGGCGAAGGCGGATGAGGAGGGGGAGGAGGGGGAGGAGGAGGAGGAGGAGGAAGAGGAGGAGGAGGAGGAGAAGGAGGAGGTGGAGAAGGAGGAGGAGGAGGAGGAGGAGGGGGAGGAGGAGGGCGGCGAGAGATGGCGTCAGAGGCGGACCCAGACATCCGACGTCTTGATGTTTTCAACACGGGGTCCCCCGAAGTACCGACCTCATCCTCAGGGCCGGCCTATCATCATCCGGAGTATTTGTTTGAGGGTCCCTGGGCCCTGCGAGAGCCACTGGAGGTCGATCACCACGAACAGCCCCCCTTTCTTTTCTCACCGACTCTTATGATGTTCCAACCTACTTTAGCCTTGATCACCAGAACGAATCTCGAGCACCAAAACAGTACCGAAACTCTAGGGTTTGCACGTGTCGGGCCCTGGGAAGCGATACTTGTTCGACACTGTCTCGATACTTCCCTGGGTGCTCGAAATTGTTTCTGGGATGTGGCCCTTCAGCACGATGGGAGCAGCATAACACGAATAGCCCCCTGTCTTGTTTCCCCGACGCGAGCACGTGTGGGGGGGAGGGCGGCGAGAGATGCGGCAGCCCTGGCGCGGCAGCACCTCCACTCGCAGAACGTCCTGCACCGCGACCTGAAGCCCGACAACATCTTCGTGGGCCCCAACGGCATAAAGCTGATCGACTTCGGGTCGGGCCACTGGGCGAAGGACCCCCCTCCTCGTGTTGTTGTTTAAGTCGGGCGTGTCCTTCTACGGGAGGAAGACTCAGAAATAGTCAAACAAATAGTCTGGGGACGACTTTTTGTTTATTTATGCGCATTTTTGGAATATGTTCGGACTATTTACGAATTGTCCGAAATCCACCTGTAGGGGGACACGCCCGACCTAAGTCTTGCTCACTCGCCTTCTGTGTGAGCTTCAGGGCCAATTTCAGCTCGACGTTTCCCCCCCTGGGCCGGTCCCCCCCCCCCTAGACGTTGCCCCTCGCCTCCCTGTCATCCTCCTTGCTTCTTCCTTGATCATCTCGCGTCGTGAACAACGTCGCGACTTACGTGTTTGGACGCTTTTCGGCACGTGCCATTACAATGGGGGCCCATGCCAAGAAACGCCCTGCTTGCCTCCAGGGTGCCCTGGGCTTCTTGGGTTTCGATGGTGTTGCGATGGACAGCGTGACGTTCCCGCACCAGAAATCGATGGACGTCCTGGGGTCTCAGGGTTGGGTTTCTGGTTGAAGGTTTCTTGTGGACGGGCCTCCACTGTACCTCCTCCTCCTCCTCCTCCTCCTCCTCCTCCTCAAGGCGCCATGAGAGTCATCCCTCGGAGCCCCGCGCAGATTTCTCGCATCGGCGCCTGGGCCCCCCTGCTGGCACCTGCGGCGCCGCCCCTGGCGCGCTTTCCGTGCGACGGTGAGGCGGGTCCGGCGCGGATCCAAGAGATCCACGCGGAGCCACCAAGGGTTATATTTGTGCTTCTGAGGTTCCAACCTACTGTAGCCTTGATCACCCGAAGGAGCTTCGAGCACCAAGAGAAGTACCGAAACTGGATGGTGTGCCCGTGTCGGGCCCTGGGAGGCGATACTCGCTCGATGCTGTTTCGATATTTTCCTGTCGGACATGTCCCTTTACAGGGAGAATATTCTTAAACAGTCAAAGTCATGGGGACGTGTTTTTTTACGGTATGTATGGCTACCCTGGACCATCTTCTGACTATTTATATAAGTTGTCATCCTAGGTCCGCCTGCAGGGGGACACGCCCGACCGAAACCGAAGCTTTTTATGATATGTATGCACTTCTTTGCTCCTCGACTGATGTCCTCGCGTGGTGAGAACGAATCATGACAGGCACTGCTAGACCGCCCTGGGCCTCTCCAGGCCCCCCCCGGGCCCCGGAGCGTTCAAACGGCGACTCAGGGTGAGAAACGGCCATCCGGGAAGGTGTGAAGGTCTTCGGGATCCGGGGATCCGCTCGGGGGCGGCAAAGAGGGGGGCGATGACCAGGGGGGGGGATATCGTGGCTTGGGCCATGATATTTCCCCAGATTTCATGGCGCCTCTTCTTATTTCATTACGTCCCTGGCCCCCCCCCGCTGGGCCGCGCACATGCCGCCGGTCATGATTTGCACCCCCCCCCTCCTTGGACACCCCCCTCTTGGCCGCTCCCGATCCGCGACGTGAAGCGATCGCGACGTCGTATGCCTGGGTCCTGAGCTCAGCAGGGTGGGGCGGAGGGATCTGCTGTCTCCGCTCCTGTCAGGCGACCTCTAGCATGGATTAAGGGGGCGTGGATAAGCGACGGGTCCCGTTTCCATGGGAAACCGCGGATTCCCGCCGCCGGACGAGGCGGCACCAGCCGCACTTTGGTGAGGGCACTTCCCCCGATCCGTGGATCTGGCGACCGCGCGCCAGATCCATGGATCGCTAATCCATGCTTGCGCGCCCCCGAGATGTGAAGCGATCACGACGTCGTACGTCTGTGTCCTGAGCTCAGCAGGGGGGGGGGACGGAGGGATCTACTGTCTCCACTCCCAGGGCGGCTCTTCCCAGAAGGGGCAGTGCGTTGGATCAGGAGGGAAAGAAACACACAGACACAATTAATCGTCGATTCCCCAGAACAGATGGGAACACATGGGAAGTGGGGGGGAAGACAGAAACCCAGAAAATATAAAAGAATATGGGGGATCCTGTTATTTGTGTGTATTTATTTGTGTGTCCCAGGGCCCCTTCAAGAAAGCGGAGGGGGCGGGTCCAGCCGCGGGGGATGTGCTTCTCCCTGCGATTCTTTTTGAGGGGTTCCTGCCAGCACTCTTCACAGCGCCCTGCCCCTCAGCAGCGCGGGCCGACTCCCTCGCGGCGCGCTCCGCGGACTCACAGCACCCCCCGACTTCCTCGCTGGCGTGCTCGCTCACGTCACGACGTCTTCGATCCAGAAGTCCAGTCGGCGACGGATCAAAAAGGAGGGTGGTGGAAGTGTGTAGGCCCGGGACGTGTTCATACTACGAGCGACGCAGTGCTCGTCTTCCTGGAGACGCCACCGAAGTTTGTTGAGGCACCCTTTGCAAACGGGCACCCAGGAACGGGAGGATGAGGAAAAGCTCCAGGATCAGGAGCAGCAGCAACAGAAGGGGGGGCGCGGCAGGAGGGACGAAGGAGGATGAGGAGGACCAGAATACGGTAGGTTCATGCGGCGATGGCGCGCCAGCGACGCCGACGAAGGCGTTCAAGCTTGAACTCCCCATGATAGAACGACGCGGAAGCACTGAGGGGCACGGTAACGCCATAGGACCCGACGGAGTCCAACCTTGAACGATCGGGGTCGTGAGTGGTTCAGTGTTGAACGATCGATGTGGTATCAAGAACCGCGGCGCGCATCGACGCCGCGCGAATTTACCGTAAGCCCAAGATCGATCAGCGATGCTGCAATACATCCTCCCTTCCCATGCCCCCTTACATTCCTGTACGCTTAAGTCGGGCATGTCCCTCTACAGGGGGAATCTTCCCAAATAGTCAAACAATAGTCTGGGGCCGATTGTTCTACTATCTTCGACTATTTGGGGCTACTGTTTGAGTATTTTTCGGTTGTTCGTCCAAAATCCCCCTGTATGGGGACACGCCCGACCTAGCTGTGCGCTCTCCTCTCCGCGGCAACAGGTGCCCAGTGTTGAAAGACCAGCACCCCAGGGGCCTGCCAGTGCGAGCGAGGGCCCCGTTGTGATGGGGACCGGCGCTGCATCATGCTCGGGTATCGTATCGAGTCGGGCGTGTCCCTCTACAGGAGGCAACGTCAACAGTAGTCCAAGAAGAGCCTAGGGAAGATGATCTAACTATGTCTAAATATGTGTTGAGTATGTTTGACTAGCTTTATTTGTCGTCCAAAATCCACCTGTTGGGGGACACGCCCGACCTGAGAATAGTAGGGAATCAGGGATGTGATGATCATTCGGTGCAGCGAGGTGCCCAGCGAGATTGCCGTGTTTTGAGGCGTGACCGCACCGCAGATGTGCGGTGCGTCTGTGACGAGTGTGGGCGACGCCACGGCGCGAGCCGCCTTTTGAAGACTACCCCCTGGTGAGGCGGGTGCGGACGCTTGAGACGAAACTGCCAGACTCTAAGGCTTGAGCCGCGTTTTGAAGACGACAGCCGCTCCAGACGTGATGCCGCGGCAGACTTCTGTGACGGATGCGCACGTCGCTGAGCCAAGAGCCCCCCTGTGGAAGGCCACAACCCATCCATGTCTCGAGTTTGTGAAAGCTGTGAGGGCGAATGCTCGGTCAAGTTTGAGGATCTGACGTGGTGAGGACGCCTCAGGCGAAACGCCCGGTCTGCCTACCGACATGCCTTGGGGTGCGACAGGGAAGGGTTGTCCGTCAGGAGAGGTCACCACCAACCAAACCACACCAACCCAACCCAAGGCCTCAATGTGCCCTCCATTTCCAGTGTGGGTGCGGGGAACTTTGAAAAAAAAACACATGGACCCCGCACCCACCCAACCCGAATTTCGAGCGAAACTCTGGTCTTCGGGTTGTCAAAAGGATGGGGGAGGAGGAGGAGGAGGAGGAGGAGGAGGAGGAGGAGGAGGAGAGGAGGATGGGGGTGGTCTGGTGGTAGTCAAAAGGATTGGGGGGGACGGGGAAGGCGGAGGACTCGTCCCGAGAGGGGGACACGAGGAACTGGGAGGGAGGAACGCGGCACAGGGGGGAGGAGGAAGGACGAGGAGAACGCACGGGGGCCTTGAGCCGCCCCCCTTATCCGGCTGCGTTTTTAAAGCTCCAAGCGCGAGGGCCAACATGGCTGCGGGAGGAAGAAGGAGGAGGAGGAGGAGGAGGAGAAGGAGGAGGAGGAGGAAGAGGAGGAGGAGGAGGAGGGGGAGGGGAGGGGGGAGGGGCAGGGGGAGGAGAGGAGGAGGAGGAGGAGAGGAGGAGGAGAGGAGGAGGAGGAGGAGGAGGAGGAGGAGGCATGTGAAAGCGCTGCAGAAGTGCGCCCAGTTGCCAGGGGGGCAATCTGCGTAGTTCATCATGGGGATGATAGAGTACGGGCTTGGGACGACGCGCCGGGGTGCAAGCTCGATCCAGAATCACGTCGAAGGCGCGGGTGGTGGAGGTGGAGCAGTTCAAGCAAGTGCATGAGGAGGAATACTGCGATGTCACCTTCAATGTGCCTGTAGGCACGAGGTGGATGGACATGGGCAAGGCCGACGTGGTTGACCCAGAATACCGGTCCCGCCTAGTGGATCAGCGAGTCAAATACAGCTCCAAAGCCAGGTTTGCGGCCACCCTTCCAGTGAAAGCGAGCGAACTGCTTTTCTCCATGGCAGTTCTGGAGGGGCGAGGGATAGCCGAGGGGGGCGCGAGGAGGGGCTCGGGTTTGGGCTTCTAGATGTTAGGCGCGCGCACTTCTATGCCGAGACCAAGAAGAACATCTCCACCCGCTCGTGGAGAAAAGATCGAGCACCAGACGTGCGTGGGAGATAATAGAAGTCAATGCGTGGAACCAGGGGCGCCGCCAGAAATTGGGGAGATTGGCGTATGGAACTCGCACGCGACATTTTCTTTGACAGCGGGGGCGTCACCATGCGCGTTGGAACGTAGGACAAGGCGAATCTGGCGAATGGTTCATGGGTGCGTTTTCCGTATGGGGTAACGATGTCGTTCTTGACTAGTTCGAAGCAAACACGTACTCGAACTCGAAGTCCAGGGCAGGCTTTGACCTGGACCACAAGATTTGATGTCGACCCGCAGTCTTAATCGCGCTGCGGAATGGAAACAGAGTGGGCGATGGCGCGGGACGCCTCAGAGGCACGCTGAGATACTTGTCCACGACGCAGGCCTGGAGCAGTGCAAGGTGAGGTGCGGGGTGCCAAGTGGAGAGCTACCTTGCGACGAAGAACGCAGTTTTGCTCAGAAGCGACGCGCTGGGCGTTGTTTGCCGTTTAGAATTTGGGGTTTTTGACGAGCTGGAAGCATTGAAAACAACGCTTCGCGTGTTTTCAGCGCTACGAGTACTTGCCCCATGTCTCCGCTCGCCGTCGTCGCTCTCGCCCCCCACCTCCCGCCGCCCACCCGCCGCCCCCGCTCCGCGCGCAGAGCGCGCCGCTGAGGGCGCCAGCGAAACGCCTTGGCGCCTGTCTAGCGCCGGCGCGGAACAGGCCCCGAGGCCCCGCGACCAGCCAGCAACGGCGGCGCGCGAAGAGAAAAATAACGCCCGAGAAACTGTAGGGTGGATTGGGCGCAAGGGGAAGAAACTGAGCACGTGGTAGACAGAAAAGTGAAACAGCTCAACCGATTGATCGTACATTGTCTTACAAGCGGCGTTCGAAACGCCAAGTTGTTTCTGCGAGCTTCCACTTTATATTCAGGGCATACGCGCGCCCGACTCACGGTTTCCAACGCGCCGAGCTCAAAGTGGCAATGAAACGACCAGGGCAGATGCAAGAAGAACCAGGAGGAATAATATTTGGAACCCTTCCGAAGTTAAGACATGCCGAGTTTTGGGGCAGGGCGAGTTATCTGGCACAGGATCGCCCGGAGTTGCAGATTCCAGCCAAGGCGCATGCACGTCACATGTCAGCCCCAACCCGAGTAACCCAAGGGGCATGAGGCAGTTCAGAAACGTTGGTTAAGTTCCCGAAGAACCACAACAGATGTGGGTACCAGCGTTTATATCAAGAGCGCCCGATGGAGTTAATTGCGCGGGCAAACACAGGCCAGGCACGTTGCAAGAGAGCACGGGGATCAGTGAGCGGAGGTACATGGAGCACCTTTTTTAAAACACTGGAGTTCGAACCGCAGTGTGGCTGTGCCATCGCATGAAGGAGCGGAATGTATCGGAACGGTTAAAGACTCAGTAGGTTGCAGGTTGCAAGCGTTTCCCAGGTGTCTTGAAGTTGAGTATCGCATCTCGTTAAAGAGCGATGCGGATGCAGCCAAAGCCACTGCGAGCAGGCGCGGATAGGTGCAAATCAAAAACGCTGAAGTTTGCCAGTTGCGGTTGCAAGAGAAATGCAGACGGGGAGACGTACAAGTGTTCAAAGTAGGAACCCATGCGACCTTGCAGATGCTCTCACTAGTTACATGCTAGTCTGTGAGCAGGGGCGGTACGTCCATGCGTATGCTAGGTACGAACCAACGCCTTGTTCACGGAAGGCACAGGCGGGCACCCGCTTCGGAGTGGCAGCTCAATCCAGATTTGGTTTATTATCGCGAGCCGACTTGCCGAGGACTTGAGCTCACGATCAATTGAAGACCGGTTGCTCGTCTGCGCGAATTCAAATTTGTATTACACATAACATCAAGCATATTGCATGCCTCTGTGCTCTGCGAAACTTAAATCGTGGATCGCGTGTCAGGATACCCTTGCACGTTTACGCTCCAATCGTAGTCGCCGTGTTTTTTGTACCAGTAACGCTTTCACTCATTTCATTGTACAAGTTGGCTTGCGAGGATGGGGTCCTGGCTTCGCTGCGCTGCCCAGTTGTTTCACACCCGCCCCTTACCCTGACGATTTTGCTGTGTACATTTCGCCCGTCTCCACATTCGGCTTATCAGCTGAAAAGGAGCGTGTTCTGTTTTAGCGTTCCGATTTGGTGGGCAGGCGCACTACTGTAGCGTAACACACACCAGTTTTGTATAACGTCGTGCAGCGAAACGGGTACCCCGGTAACGGGCGACACGCCCACGTCACCCGTTATGCCTTGTTTTCTGCAAAATGTGCGGTGGCCACTTGCCGTTCCGTTCAAGTTCATATCGCCTCTTGTTTAAAACAATGCCAATTAAGCAGTGGGAGGAGGAGAGGGAAGTGGGAGGAAGGAGAGGAGGAGGAGGAGGAGGAGGAGGAGGAGGGGAGGAGGGAGGAGGAGGAGGAGGTGTTGGGGAACAGGAGGAGAGGAGAGAAGGAGGAGGAAGATGAAGAGGAGGAGGAGGATTAGGAGAGGAGGAGAGGGAGGAGGAGGAGGAGGAGGAGGAGGAGAAGAGGAGGAGGAGGAGGAGGATTAGAGGAGGAGGGGGAGGAAGAAGAGGAGAAGGAGGAAGAGGAGGAGGAAGAGGAGGCGGAGGAGGAGGAGGAGGAGGAGGAGGAGGAGGGGGAGGGAAGCGAGTGAGAGACGCGGGTTCGGACGGCGTGCCTCTTTTGCTGTCGTCGCGCTGGTGGGCGAGCCCCGCCCAGTGCCCCCGCCAGAGGACGGGCCGCTGGAGGCGAGCAAGTTCATCGGAAGGGGCCAGGGGTTCACGGCGCAGCCTAGCTTTTATCAGAGGGAGCGAACAAATGGAATTTAGGCGCGTGGAGTAGCGGTGGGTCCCGTTTCCATCGCAGCACGAGGCGGCACCAGCTTCAAAGTTTGAAGGGTACCGTTCCCAGTCCGTTGGTTCCTCCTCTCCTTGGGCTTTCCTGGGAGCCTTTTTGGGGGTTTCTTGGTGACATATTTGGGTTGCTGGAGGGTTTGGGGGGAACCTGTTGGGGCGTCACGGGCCTTGTTCGGGCGCTCTTTGGAACCGTCCCGTCTGGCGCCTTTGGGGGGCCGTCGTGGGGGCATCTCTGGGTCGTCTTGGTGCCTTTGGGGGCCTCCAAAGGCTGTCCTGGGGGCTTCTTGGGCCATCTTGGAGAACACCCGGTCTCTCTTGGATCTGTTTCGGAAAAGCATTGGGCCACCTTTCGGGCCCTCCTGGGCCACTTTAAACGGAGAAGGTTAAAGGCGATGTATATATCGAGCATGCACCGCTGCCGTGCCTGGCTCAAGCCGGGCCCGGCCAAATATGTGACTGTGCCTCACCGAGGCGCACGACTTGTATCTGAGATCGGCAATACCTTTTCCATTGAAGATGCCCCCTCTATCCTTTACTCCAGATCCCATGTTTCGTCTCGCTCTCTTGCTCATGCGATATGAGCCAAAGCCCGGGATATGGGAACGCTTGAAGCGTAACACATACCTAAGCTTACCAGTGCGTTTTCGATTTGGTAGCGGAGCTGGCTACACTCTCGTGTGGCTGGCTCTCGCTCTGATTCCTGTAATCCACGGCACAACTTGGTGGACTACTACTACGGTGGAATACCATGTTGCGCCGGCTCTGCGAGGAGCGGAGCCAGTCCGCGATCGAGCTAGCGGGGCAACCCGCGAGCTCGAGACGCTCTCTCCTACTTCACTGCGCTACTTCACTCTCGACTTCCACCAGATGCCAATCGGCAACTCGATCGAGAACGTGGTCACCCTGCGGGGCTACCCGCAGCGGGGCCACCTGCATCCCGTGCCAGTCAGGCGCCTCACGGCTACTACGCCAGAGCCTGACAAACCACAGCCTAAACCAATCACCGAAGCCGAAATGCACATGCACTGGATTAAGATAACTATCTTCGGCATTCTATGGGTAATAATGGGATGTGCTGTGGGATACATGCGGCAGGGGATGGACGACACGCGTACTACCGGCCCTTCGTGGGACCCTGCCGGTACTACGCCTTTTCGCGAATACGTTCGCGAAGTACATGCATGGATAAACGTAACGAGCGGCAATATGACGCCACCTCAACAAGCTGCAGCACTACAGCGAGGCCTTCAAGGTCTTGCTCGTCGTATCGCCATGCAGGTCCCCTCCCAGATCATCAACTATGGTGTAACTGTCAACGGACAGCCAACGGATGCAGTTACTTATATACTGTACCTATTGAGCACCAAATTTGAAAATCTGGAAGATGAGCGCCAGCTCAACTCTGGCACTGCCCTTATCGAATTTCGCGTCGAAAGGGGCGAGCGAATCGACTCAGTGTTAGCTTGATTCGAGATGGCCCGTGACGAGGCTAACTCTGTTGGCTTTGTCATCCCCAACTTTCAGATCCTAACGCTGATCCTTTTCAGAGCGTTAGGCGTTGGCGCGTCTCGAGCCCAACACCTGCTGGAGCCCTTTAATCATCAGATGCCCAGAACACAGGCAGACTATGACAGGCTGCTGACCAGGATGAGGAACTACGGACATGTTGCCGAGCGCTCTCCTGGCAACGTTGCGGGTATCTTCACAGGGCACCACTCACATGCAGGTGTCTACGCCACGACTGCGGGGTCACCCGCTGGTCCTGGCGAGCCAAGTCCCTGGGCTGACCAAGCCGATATGCCCAACGAGGCCACTGCCTTCTTAGGGCAGACCGGCCAGGCATCGGCAGAGGCAGCTGAGGCGAACGCCTGGTCGAACTACTCGCCAGGCGCCGCCTACACTGCAAGCCCGCCCTCGGGCACAACCCTCTGGGGCCAAGCGGAGTCATCCGCTCAAGGGTCTCAGCCACCCTCACCGTTTGAATCTGGCACTGACACAGACACCTCATCTGACGATGAGCACAATGGCATAGTCTCTGCTGGTAATGACTATCCAGCGGATGACACTCACCTTTCTGAACAACAAAGAGCGGAAGCCGCTTTTATGGCTTATCGCAAATCAAAACGCCGTTGGAGGCGCTTTATGAAGAAACCAGTCAGAAAAGTGAGACGTGCAGTACGCCGACATTTCAAACGATATGGAAAGGGTCGTGGCAAAGGGGGTCGCAGACGCCGTATGCATGGTAGGGGTATTACTGCTTTCCTCACGTCCTTAACTGATATAGTCTTTGAGGAAGTTCTTATCGGAGGCAAAGGTCGGGGTCACAGGCGGACCTCTGGTAAGGGAAAAGGGCGTAGGGGCAACCCTAGGGACGCTTCTGGCAATACTATGAAGTGTCATACATGCGGTAGCACAGAGCATTTGCGCGATCAATGCCCGAAAGGGAAAGGAAAGGGATCCGTACATTTGGCTCAAAACTGTTTTATGGATGACATAGACTACATTGACTACGAGTTTTACGTCAATCCAGAAGCGGCTCCCGCCGCGGGCTCCTCCACGTACCACGTGATGGCCCGCTACGCTGAAGTGACCGTAGCCCTGGAAGAGTACGCGGTGACCCTCTTCGACGAGTTCCACGGCTGGGACGAAGTCGACGAGGTCGCGTTCAATGCCTGGTTCGGTCTTCCAGCGGGGCCACCCGCCGACGACGAGATCTCCGAAGCTGAGACCGTCCCTGCGACCGAGGAGGAGCTCGCCGCCGCGCTGGCACCGCAGGTGATTGGCATGCCGTTGCTGCCAGATCTTCCGCGAGCTGGCTCGGAAGCGGGAGACGCTGATGACGAAATGCGGGGCCATCCCGCTGATTCTGACTCTGAAGAGGCCGAAGAGGACTATAAGGCCATGCTCCAAGAGCAGGTCGCAGAAGCAATCCAGCTCCTGAGTGCGCCAGCACATCAGCAGATAACCATGAACGGCCTGCTGTCGCGCCCAGGGGCCGCAAGGCTGCGTCCATACCTGGATTCGGACATGTCGGCACCTCAGATGCTGACAGCACTCCAGGCTCTAGCGGGGTCACCCGCCGAAGTGACGCCAGCCGCAGCAGCGGGGCCACCCGCTTGGTCTATGGATGTATTCATGCAGGGCTGCGACCAGATGGACCTCAACGACCTCACGATGGAGCAGCTAAACGACATCGGGTACTTCCGAAGCCCGCATCAGCACGTATTCATGGTCCAGGACAGCTCAGAGGACTCGGAGGACATGCGCCATGCCAAGAGGGACAGACGTCCATCGCCTCCCCGAGACTCAGAGCATGACGATCAAAGGCCCATGGAACGTGGTAGTGCGTCAGCGGGGCCAGCCCGCAGGAGGAGCCGTTCAGCTCCCCGACGCCCTACACATGATGCATCGGGCTACCCGTGCAGTACGGAGCACTCCGTTGGTGTATCCGCTCAGTACGTGCCGGAGTGTTACATCAATTGGTACCCCGGCTACTCGATGGACGTGATCCGCCACTGGTATTCTAAGGAATACTGCACCAAAAGGGACGAAACTGGCATGATAATACGTACCAAGGGTGGCAAGACCAAAACGCCAGAGGCTTGGGACAAAAGGGCTAAGAAACAGGAGATCATCAACGATCGCAAGACATACAGAAAACAAGTATGTCAGTGCGAGCCCTTCAAAGGTCACATGCGCAGTTGTCCAATGGACCGCCCCTCAAGGAGTCCTCATCACGGTGAGACCCCGTGGAATTGGTCTCATGGAGATGACGCTGGCAACGTCCATGATCCTAACAAGGAGGTCCCTGGAGGAGGAAAGCGCATCACAGAAGCCGATCGCGTCCCTATGACCGAAGAGGTTGCAAACACTGTCAGGGAAAATTGGGTACAGCTTCCCAATGACCATCGCCTCAAGGAATGGAACCGCCGATTCCATAAAGAGGCGGGGTCACCCGCAGGATCCAGCAACGAAGCGGGGTCACCCGCAGACGCGGCGCCAGCCGCTGGGTCCGCGGACGAAGATTGGATAGCTGTTGCATCTGCTGCCGGGTCCGCCGCCGGCACTGACCACACCGAACTGAATGAAGAATGGGCGGCGGAAGACGGCTCAGAGAATCCATTCCCTGATGGATGCGCCTGTTGGTACTACAGCTCCTCGGCGCAGAAGTGGTTTTGCACGAGGGTAATTCACCGCCACGAAAATGGCAAGTACAAGCTGGCCATAAAAGGTACTGCCGACATCGACCAGTTGAGGCAGATCATCCATGATCATGGCCAGCCAGAAGGCCCTCCTAAAGACCCTCCTGGTCCACAACCAGGCAAGGGCAGCAGACCACCTCCAAGACCTGAAGCCGACTCCTCGTCTTCACCGACTCCTGCGAAGAGGCACCCGTCCAAGAGCCCCGAAGGCGCACAGGGGCGGGCGAAGGCCAGAGGGATCGCCAAGACGGACGACCCTGAGCTGGGAGATCCTCCCGGTCTGTCCGTGACGGAGAGGAGGAAGGCTTTTGCTGGACCATCGACCCCGATGCCACCGGCGACCCAAGGCGATGTCAAGGACGAAGTTCGCGACAAGCCTAAGGCAGCTTTCCGAGGTGACTGGACTCCAACTCTGCATCAGCCGCGCCTTGCACCACGACCAGGTTCGGCACGAATGAAAGCGCAGCCGAAGCCCGAAGCTGGGATGAGGTCGGCGCGGGCAGAAGCAGCCGCCAAAGCTAAGGAGGACAAGGGCTCTGCGGGGTCACCCGCTAAAGCGGCGCCAGCTGCAGCAGCGGGGACACCCGCAGACAGCACTCTTTCAAGAGAAGAACGCTTCAGAGCCCTCAAAGAATTTGGCGACCGACAGAAACAAGCCGACGATGCAGTGGCTGACCAAGGTCACCCGCACCCTGGCGCGGAGTCATCCGCTGGAGCTGCCTCGCCAGCCGCAGGTTCTGCAGGGCCACCCATTAAAGCGGCGCCAGCTGC